TTTTTTTTTTTTTTTTTTTTTTTTTTGTTTTTTTTTTTAATTATTCTGGTCAAGATTAGGAAAGGGCCATAAACTCTAGGAATAAGTGGTAAAGGATGTCTGGTATTCTATTCCATGAAGAGTACAAGCGTCTTGTGATGGTCTCTTATTACCCCTTCTGTTCTGTATCTCCTCCTGTTTCCACTGGAAGGAAGAATGGAATTCAGTTTTAAGTCCCTTAGGGAGGATTTCTCAGTAGTGTTTGAGAGTTCTTAGCACCAGAACAGTTTTCTGCATTTTATAAAATCTACACGTCCTTTCTTCCATTGGCTCCTTTGTCTCTCTTGTCTTGGTCTCCTTGTAATTATTATTTCCTTTGGAAGAGAGTCGATGGGGAAGGTATTAGAAAAGGAAAACTTTCTCTTGGATATGTTGTAAGCTCTCGGGGGCAGCAGCGATTTTGTTTCTGCTGAACCTTTCATAGTGCCTGGTACATAATAGGGGCCTCAAAAGATGTTTATAGGATGAATGGACTTGTGGGTGGGTGGATGGATGGATGGCCTTATGGATCAAGTGACTTATACATAGATGAATAAATTTCAGGTGTACTAACTGATTGCTTAGCACTGGTTTGTTTTCTTTTAAACGTGTGTTGGGGCGCCTGGGTGGCGCAGTCGGTTAAGCGTCCGACTTCAGCCAGGTCACGATCTCGCGCTCCGTGAGTTCGAGCCCCGCGTCGGGCTCTGGGCTGATGGCTCAGAGCCTGGAGCCTGTTTCCGATTCTGTGTCTCCCTCTCTCTCTGCCCCTCCCCCGTTCATGCTCTGTCTCTCTCTGTCCCCAAAATAAATAAACGTTGAAAAAAAAATTAAAAAAAAAAAAAAAAATAAACGTGTGTTGGCTGTGTGATAAACGATTAACTAACGGATGGACTAGTTTGATTTTTGTTCCTTGGATTCTCAGTGTTTGAGATTAGCTCAGCAACTTGGAGATGTCTCATTACCCTCAGATTTAAATGGTTTCTGAGATAGTTTCGAGTCACTGTAGTTTAAAAGAGCAACCGAAAAGCCATTTTAAGGGGGTGCCTGGCTGGCTCAGTCACTAGAGCGTGCAACTCTTAATCCTCAGGGTCATGAATTCTGTCCACGTGTTGCGTATGAGAGATTGCTTAAAAAATAAAATCTTGGGGCACCTGGGTGGCTCAGTTGGGTAAGCGTCCGACTTCGGCTCAGTTCATGATCTCACTGTTCGTGAGGTTGAGCTCCGTGTCAGGCTCTGTGCTGACAGCTCGGATCCTGGAGCCTGCTTGGGATTCTGTGTCTCCCTGTCTCTCTCTGCCCCTCCTTCACTCACACTCTGTCTCTCTCTCTCTCTCTCTCTCTCTCAAAAATATTAAATTTTTTTTATTAAATCTGGGCACCTGGGTGGCTCAGTCGGTTGGGTGTCTGACTTCAGCTCAGGTCATGATCTCACAGTCCGTGAATTTGAGCCCCGCGTCGAGCTCTGTGCTGACAGCTCGGAGCCTGGAGCCTGCTTTAGATTCTGTGTCTCCCTCTGTCTCTGCCCCTCCCCTGCTCATGCTCTGTCTCAAAAATAAATAAAAACATTTAAAAAAATTAAATTTAATTTTTTAAAAAAGCCATCTTAAGGAATTGTAAAGAAGGTAGACAAAAATAGAATATAAAATCAGGGCTGAATTGGTTGGCAAGGTCGGAACCCTGTAACCGTGGAATGAACTCTTGATAGCATCACATGTTCATAATTGAGGCATCTTGCTCTTCAGCACCATTTGTTCGGTTTTGACTTTGAATCGAGAGTGGAGGATACCAATGAGCCTTTGTACCTGTATCTGGGGAAGAGTGAGCAAAGGTTAGTTTTTTTCTGGACGGTTTTCTTCTTTTCCCTGCTTTTTACCTCCTGTCATTTGTGTACTTTTCATGTGATCCTCTGCAAGGAAGCTGCCGTCCAGGTAGCCGATGGTGGTAACAGAGTTTGACCCTCTGGGCAGGACAACAGGAAAAAATGGGAGTGCCTCATGATTCTTGGCAGGTGGGGGCATGGGATCCTATCTAAAGACATGGGACGGGGGGCGCCTGGGTGGCGCAGTCGGTTAAGCGTCCGACTTCAGCCAGGTCACGATCTCGCGGTCCGTGAGTTCGAGCCCCGCATCAGGCTCTGGGCTGATGGCTCGGAGCCTGGAGCCTGTTTCCGATTCTGTGTCTCCCTCTCTCTCTGCCCCTCCCCCGTTCATGCTCTGTCTCTCTCTGTCCCAAATAAATAAATAAACGTTGAAAAAAAAAATTTTTTTTTAAATAAAAAATAAAAAAATAAAGACATGGGACGGATTGTCTGTGAACTTTGCATCATGAATGCACATGTTCCTCTCTTTGCAGCCATACTGTTAAAGATGTGCTTGAGTTGTTTGAGACACTACATGTCTACCTATGGGTCTTAGGCCCATAGGTGAGGCCAGGAAATGATGTTAATAATGACGTGGATGATGTAGCTGAAAGTTACAAATATAATGTACATACACATAGCTGGCATACATTTCTTATAAAAATATACAGTACTTCCGCAATATCCTCAAGGAGTTGGGTCGGCCTGTCTGTGGAGTTACTTAACCCTTGTGGCAAAATCTCAGGGTTCAGGGGGACGGGGGTGGATAGTGTCTCTGAGTCTGAAGCAGAACGTCAGCAACACGTTTTCCTCTGGAATCCAGTGGCCCATCAGCTCTGGTGGGCATACGATGGTTGTCGGGGTTGCCTGTATGGAAAACGAAAGGCATCACCATTCCACAGCCAGCGGTAAAGCGGGACAGACTTGGGGTCCTCAAGCCACACGTTTCCATCATCACGGGCTGTATGCTTACCGTTTCTCTCTCGAGCCCCCCCTTGATTCCCTGGCCCTCCTCAGCAGCCAGTGCAGGATGGAGCACTGGCCTCGGCCCCTGGTTGAAATCTGCGTCCTTTGGGACATGAGCCTAATGCCACCCGGGTTCCGCTTAGAGCCTGGTTGCGGCAAGCCTCTTCGGAATCTGGTACGGCTGTTCAGAAATGATTGCCAGCCTCAGGTCCGAGCCCCTGCAGTCACGAGGGGAGGCAATGAGCCCGAGATCACTCAGCCCCGTGGGCCCCACACTGTGCGTGCTGTGTGGCCAGGGCGTGGGGAGACCGCCCGCCACTGCGGGGATGCTAGGACACCGTGGTCTCCCCGGCCTCTCCACCGCATTTCCAGGCCCCCTCCTGGGCCACCTCTGGAGGGGAGGCGGTGTAGACTTCACCTTCCCCGTGTGTTTCTAATCTGCGGGCTCTGCCCCCTCTGCTGTGTCCGTGCCGCGTTTCCCACACTCGTTTTGTACATGGGCTTTTGCTCCTCTCTTCATTCCTGTCTGCACCGTCTCCAAGCTTTCTGGCAAGTTTTTTGTTGGGGTTTGTGAGCACAGAGGACAGGTTTTTGTCTGTACAGTTCAAGCATCTGTGTACAAGCGTCAAAAGTCAGCTGTAATTCACATGAAAAACAAAACAGACTGGACGGAGGGAGGAAAAGGAGAGCGTCCCTCTAACCCCATCATCAAGCCGTCTGCCTCCTGGACCTCTTTCCTTATGTCTGTCCGGCACTTGGCAGGCTCTCACCGTCCCCTCCCTTCTGTACGCACCTGCTCTAATGTCACCAGAAATTAGATCTGTCCCAGGTCTGCTGTATCTGGGGCTGATCCTACTCTGGGAGGTGGTGGAAATTCTTAGAATGTAGACAATGGAGTCTGCTTTCAATTAGGTCACGGACGATGAGTGGTTTTTAAAAACTCTAATTTGGCTGTGGCTCCAGAACTTTGTATGACTCTGGCTTGGTGGTTTCCAGCTAAGACAGTCCCCTCACCCCCTAGAAGTAATTACCTCGACCAAAATGTCGCGAGTGCTGAGTTGAGGAGCTCGCATTAGCATTTGGTCTGTTATAAAAGCCATGTGTCTTTTAAGGTGGATTGGAATAGAAGGATTTAAAAAAAAAAAAATATGTTGAAGAGTTGTTTCTACTTCCAGTGGAAAAACCATTGACTGTAAAACAGGAGGGATTTCATTCATATGTGGAATCTAACCCCTACCCCACGCCCCCAAAAAACAACATAGATACAGAGGGCAGTTCAATGGTTTGTGGGGGGCAGTGGAGGGATATGGGAGAAGTAGGTAAAGGAGGTCAAAAGGTACAAACTTCTAGTTAGAGTTAAGTCCTAGGAATGTAACGTACAGCATGGCGACCATAGTTAATAATACTGTATTGTACATTTGAAAGTTCCTAAGAAAGGAGATTTTCCAAGTTCTCATCACACAAAAAAATTGCAACCATGTGTGCCGATGGACATTAACTAGACTTACTGTGTTTATCATTTCATAATATATGCAAATATTGAATCCCATACACCTGACGCTAATGTCACGCGTCAAATATATCTCCATTTAAAAAAATGGAGAAGGGGTGCCTGGGTGGCTCAGTCGGTTGAGCGTCCGACTTCAGCTCAGGTCATGATCTCACAGTCTGTGAGTTCGAGCCCCGCGTCGGGCTCTGTGCTGACAGCTCAGAGCCTGGAGCCTGCTTCACATTCTGTGTCTCCCTCTCTCTCTGCCCCTTCCCTGCTCATGCTCTGTCTCTCTCTGTCTCAAAAATAAATAAACATTAAAAAAAATAAAAAAAAATGGAGAAAAAGTGCCATTTAAGTCCTTGATACTATGATATGTTATCTACATCCAGTTTCTGGAATTCAGTATCGTCAGGAGCAGGGTCCCCTGGCCCCTGCCCTGCCCCCGACTTCGACATTAGACACCTTAGAAGATGCCAGGTTAGAGGGGCACCCAGGTGGCTCAGTCGGTCAAGCATCCGACTCTTGGTTTTTGGCTCAGGTCATGATCCCGGGGTTGTGGGATCAAGCCCCTCGTCAGGGACTGTGCTGGGTGTGGAGCCTGCTTAAGATTCTCTCTC